ATGGGGTATGACGATGTATAACATATAGTTACTCTCCTAACATGGTAACTAAGGGGTATGACGATGTATAACATATAGTTACTCTCCTAACATGGTAACTAAAGGGTATGACGCTGTATAGAGTATAGTTTCTGTCCTCACAAGGTAAATATGGGGTATGACACTGTATAAAGTATAGTTACTCTCCTCACAAGGTAACTAAGGGGTATGACGCTGTATAAAGTATAGTTACTCTCCTAACAAGGTAAGTACGGGTTATGTCGCTGTATAAAGTATAATTCCTGTCCTCACAAGGTAAATATGGGTTATGACGATGTATAACATATAGTCACTCTCCTCACATGGTAACTAAGGGTTATGACGCTGTATAAAGTATAGTTCTATTCTCACAAGGTAACTAAGGGTTATGACGCTGTATAAAGTATAGTTACTCTCCTCACAAGGTAACTAATGGGTATGACGTGGTATAAAGTATAGTTACTCTCCTCACAAAGTAACTATTGGGTATGACACTGTATAAAGTATAATTACTGTCCTCACAAGGTAACTAATGGGTATGACGATGCATAACATATATTTACTCTCCTAACATGGTAACTAATGGGTATGACGCTGTATAAAGTATAGTTTCTGTCCTCACAAGGTAACTAAGGGGTATGACGCTGTATAAAGTATAGTTTCTGTCCTCACAAGGTAACTATGGGGTATGACGCGGTATAAAGTATAGTTACTCTCCTCACAAGGTAACTATTGGGTATGACACGGTATAAAGTATAGTTACTCTCCTCACAAGGTAACTATTGGGTATGACACTGTATAAAGTATAGTTACTCTCCTCACAAGGTAACTATTGGGTATGACACTGTATAAAGTATAGTTACTCTCCTCACAAGGTAACTATTGGGTATGACACTGTATAAAGTATAGTTACTCTCCTCACAAGGTAACTATTGGGTATGACACTGTATAAAGTATAGTTACTCTCCTCACAAGGTAACTATTGGGTATGACACTGTATAAAGTATAGTTACTCTCCTCACAAGGTAACTATTGGGTATGACACTGTATAAAGTATAGTTACTCTCCTCACAAGGTAACTATTGGGTATGACACTGTATAAAGTATAGTTACTCTCCTCACAAGGTAACTATTGGGTATGACGCTGTATAAAGTATGCTTACTGTTTTCACAATGTAACTATGGGTTATCACGCGGTATAAAGTATAATTACTCTCCTCACAAGGTAAATATGGGTTATGACGATGTATAACATATAGTTACTCTCCTAACAAGGTAACTATTGGGTATGACGCTGTATGAAGTATAATTACTCTCCTCACAAGGTAACTAAGTGCTATGACCCTGTATGGAGTATAGTTACTCTCCTCACAAGGTAACTATAGGTATGACGCTGTATGGAGTATAGTTACTGTCCTCACAAGGTAACTACGGGGTATGACGTTGTACAAAGTATTTGTACTATCCTCACAGGATAGCTCAATAATATGATGCTGTACTAAATAGGTTTACTGTCCTCACAATTAATAACTTTAAATCAAAGCGCTGTATGAAGTATTTTAAGAAACGATGCTTTGTAAAGTATCTTTTTTTTCCTCACACAGTAACTGTAGGATAGGACGCGGTATAGGGTATGTCTAGTTTTCCAACCTGGAAACTGTGGGGTATGACCTTGTCCGACTCATGTTTATTGTTCTGGCACAAAAAAAAACTGAGGGTACGATGTTGTCTGAAGTATGTTGATTTGACTGTCTTCACAGGGAAATCGCTGCGCGTGACACTGTATGATATATTATATTGACCATAACCTGGCATGTTAGCTCTAAAATGACATTTCTGACGTTATAGTTTTACATCTATTAAATTAAAATAAGGAGTTTCAACATATGAATAGTTCAGACTTAACGCTATCTTCAGTTGTATTTCGCAATAAGCAGATTCCACCTTGCCCTTGGTTTGTATTTGAATTAATTTTGTTATTTTGTAGAGTTGTAGAATTGTTTTTAAATCCAAAAACTTCTGCATTGCATGATTCAAATAATATGCTATATTCCAAAATCGATATTAACACAACAATTTTACGAAACACTACTTTGTATCTATTCAGTATTACGTCAAGTTTCTGCTCTCAAAATACAAAGACAAATAATGTACAAAATTTCCCCGTAGACCTAAACAAATATTGATTTCATTTGCATTTGGTTAAGGAGGTGAATAACTTAGGTTTGATAACATATCCAACATTGTATATGGAACAGTATTTGTTTCAACAGTGGAAAACACCAATTTGAATTTCCACCATTTTCTCCTTCAATGATAAAACAGCTGTAAGTTGCAATGTAATTTTGTTCTTGCATACTTCATCTATTGTTACCTTAATTAGTGAAATGACATGTGCGTGTCTATGTCCATCATCCAAGATATCTGTTCTTGTATCTGCTCTTTTCTCCGATGGACTGAGGATAGGTGAAATCTATCTTTCGCTCAACATCCAAGATAGCTTCTTTCGTCCTGATGGAATGAGACATTGCTGATATCGAACATGTGCACTGTGTGTAGTTATAGGCTATAGTGACGAGGTATCCTACTGGTATATTTTAATAAGTAATTAAGTATAACTAATTTGAAGGATTGGTTTGTCAGTATTTTAAAAGTGGGATGATTTTAGACGTTACATGCAATGGTACGATAGTTGTATAGTGTTGAATGCATAATGACCACGTGACGATTCAATGTTTACAGTACCCTGTGTGGACGGCCAGATCGCTTGCAGTGATGGCGCGTGTGTTGACATTACCCGCACGTGCGACAGCGTTGTTGACTGTACAAGTGGCTTTGACGAATGGCCCTGTTTGAAAGGTTTGTACACTCATTGCAACAGATATAATAATAGCATTAGTACACTTATTTATTATGTGTATTTGCTCGCTCTAGATAAATGCATGTACTATGTCTTTATTATACACGCATTCCAGATATGGTGCATGCCAGGCAGATATAGTTACACTGGTTAGTCCAACATATCGCCTTTATTAGTATACTAGCGGAAAAAAGAAACTGTGCATGCGGAGAATTGTTATAGAACATGCATTACCAACTGTATATACATGAAAATTCACACGCATGATCGAGTATGACACATACACACTATCCGTGTGTCATTGACAGTTTTTCCCGTGCAGTTTGCTCTCTATAGGCGTTGACCAGTTTGCACGTTTTTCTCGCCCAGCCATCCAATTCGACAATGAAAGTTTATTTGTCAACTATTGGGTCACTCTGTTGAGACCAGTGAACAATAAAAACAGCATTATAACGTTTTAATTTGTGATAAATGCTATGCCGAGGCTCAATGAAAATGACAGCCCCCGGATTATTGGTATGCTTCAAGCTGGTAGGTGCCAAGCCGTTGTCTCTACACGTTTTCATGTCCATCGGAACACAATCCGGGATTTGTGGAGACGACATCAACAGTTTGGCCACGTCAGCGATCGACCTCGTGCGGGACGTCAACGTGTGACGTCACGTCAACAGGACAACCATATTCGGCTTGTCCATTTGAGAAATCGCTTCCAAACGGCAAGATTGACTGCACGGACAATCCCTGGGTTGCTACCAATAAGCCCGAGAACTGTACGGAATCGATTGCGTGAACGAGCTATCCGTCCGCGACGTCCTGCAATACGCCCAGTTCTACTGCAACGTCATCGTGTAGCACGTCTGGACTGGTGCAGAAGGCATCTGCGATTTACTCGACGGGATTGAGCACGCATTTTGTTTACGGACGAGTCGCGAGTCCACCTGGATAGTAGTGACGGCCGTTCCAGAGTGTATCTTCGCGTTGGAGAACGTTTCCGTGACGCGTGTGTGGTACATCGACGTTCTTTCGGCAGAGGCAGCGTTTTGATTCGGGGCGGCATCACAGCCAACGGGAGAACGCCTCTGGTGGTTGTTAACGGGAATTTGAACGCGCTACGTTACCGTGACGAGATCCTCCGGACCCACGTCGTTCCATTCGTGCAAGGGCAGTAACGTCACATTACGCTACAGCAGGACAACGCCAGGCCACACACAGCTCGTGTCGCTATGGATTTTCTGGCCCAGCAGAACGTTGACGTGTTGCCCTGGACTGCTGTATCCCCCGATCTGTCGCCCATTGAACACGTCTGGGATGAAATGAAGAGCAGATTACGGGCATTACCTAATCAACCGGTGACGTTGGCTGATTTGGCTGCATCGTTGGTACAGATCTGGAATGCCATCCGACAAGCATTCTTGAACCGTCTGATGGATTCCATGCGTAGACGTTGCCAGGCTTGCATTCAGGCAAACGGTGGACATACGAGGTATTAACTTTGTGAACTCAGTATTGACCCCTGCTGTGTTTACGTCACTCCTGAGCGGAACTTATTGATTCCATAACGTGGAAAATGGAATGCAACTGTTAATAAATAACAAATAAATTGTCCCTGAAAACCTTGTTGTTTTACGTCATACACATTTATTTTTATAATACATTTTAGGCATGCACAGTTTCTTTTTTCCGCTAGTATATATAACTGTTGTTAACTAACGATACTATATCTTGTACAAGACTGTCTATAGTAACCGAGACTAAATTGTCAATACTTACTATTTTAGCTGTGTTTGTAAGTAGTTACTGGGCCTTCCTACACGTGCTCTGTGTTTGTAAGTAGTTACTGGGCCTTCCTATACGTGCTCTGTGTTTGTAAGTAATTACTGGGCCTTCCTATACGTGCTCTGTGCTTATAAGTAATTACTGGGCCTTCCTATACGTGCTCTGTGTTTATAAGTAGCTACTGGGCCTTCCTATACGTGCTCTGTGTTTGTAAGTAGTTACTGGGCCTTCCTATACGTGCTCTGTG